ATACATAATAAGCTTTTATTACTCTCTTTCATTTCTAAACAGACTTATAGAGAAGTGCTATACGCGCTTGAGGGTAACTTTTGTAAATAACAAATTAATCGGATATAATAATCAACATTAATTTCTTTAGCTGTAATGGATTATTTAAGCGATTTTGGTGATATTCTTGTAATCAGACTCAACCAGAAAAAGTATCATTTTACTGATTTGGAATATTTTTTGAGGTTAGGGACGAGTAGTGACTGGTTGGTACGGACCGTGACTAGTTGGGTTCAAACGGATGTAGGAATTAGGTTCAGTGGCCCCAAAAATATAAAGATAGGTTGCTTACACTTCATTGATAAACGTAGAAAAGTGTAATCTTAGTAATTCGCGCTATTTTTTGAGAATAGGAACGAACAATGACCAGATGGGGTTTAACGAACATAGAAATCGAAATCAGCAACCTCAAAAACGTACAGATATGGTGATTTAGTCTACAATACAGTATTCTTATGNGGTAAAAAATAAAAATCGGTAGAAGCTCTCTGCGCTTAACAAGGTTGATACTGTCATTATGTTAAGTAGGTACATAATGCTATCCAATATTTCGTGATTATTATTTGTATTTTCAGGCGCCGTACATGATACAACCATACAGTTATACAGTATAAGTTTATTGTATCATGGGCGCCATATTGGAACTACCACGAAAGGATTAGAGAAGTGCTATACGGGCTTGAGGGTAACTTTTGTAAATAACAAAGTAATCGGATATAATAATCAACATTAAGCATTAAGCTGTAATGGATTATTTAAGCGATTTTGGTGATATTGTTGTAATCAGACTCAACCAGAAAAAGTATCATTTTAGTGATTTGGAATATTTTTTGAGGTTAGGGACGAGTAGTGACTAGTTGGTACGGACCGTGACTAGTTGGGTTCAAACGGATGTAGCAATTAGATTCAGTGGCCCCAAAAATATAAAGATAGGTTGCTTACACTTCATTGCTAAACGTAGAAAAGTGTAATCTTAGTAATTCGCGCTATTTTTTGAGAATAGGAACGAACAATGACCAGATGGGGTTTAACGAACATAGAAATCGAAATCAGCAACCTCAAAAACTTACAGATATGGTGATTTAGTCTACAATACAGTATTCTTATGTTTCTTATCTATAAATATTGCTCATTAAACATAATTTTCCATTATTGCGGACGCCATATTGGAACAGCCTTTATGTTTTTTTGAAGTCACCAGGCGGCTTTCGATAGTTTTTAAATATGAAGCTTTTGACACGTCGAACATCAGAATCATCTTTAGTGACGAGGTGCATTTTCATCTTAGTGGATATGTGAACAAGCAAATCTATCGAATTAAGGACAGAAACAATCCTCGAGTCATTCAAGAACGACCACTGTATACCCAAAGAGTGTGGTGTGGATTTTCACGCTTGTGGGGTGATTGGTCCGTTCTTGTTTGTAATGAATTTTCACAATTTTCACTAGCTCATCCGTCATATCCTTCATTTTGTCGCTACAATGGCATTTATTTGAACTACTGATTGAAAACGATAATATTATATTAATATTGTATATACAGGGTGTTTCATAATTGGATGTCAATATTGAACGGTGTTAATCTGTGCGTGATTTTAAGACAAAAAGTTCATATAAACATAGGTCCGTTTTCGCTTTATTTTTTATATACAGGGTGATGAATATCTGTTTGTAAAATTGTTGTTTTTTTTTTAATAACTCCGAAACTAAATTAGATAGTTTTATAAAACTTAGTATGTGTAAACTAGGTGCAGAGACACGTCTTTTGCATAATAAACGAATTTTCATTTTTAACCAGTGGCGTCCCAATTAACTTCAACCTCATTATTTTGAATGAAAAAAATGATACGCCACTGCATTTTTGAAAAACAAAAATTATTGTATAAATGGTGCTTTATTTTGTAATAAAAAAGATCTCTTGAGTTTTTTTCTTATCTTGCACTGTTTTTTAGTAAAAAAATAAAGAACAACAATAATTATCTGTACGTGGAATGAAGTACCTACTTTTTACACATTTTATGGAAATAATTCTTTTACTAGATAACTTATTCACATTATTGTATAATATTATTAATAATTACGATTGACGATCAACAAATAACAATTTTGTGAAACGAAAAAAACAAACAATTACATCAGCTGTTGAAAATGCCCTCCACCTGCAAGGATACATGCTTCAGCTCTTCTTCTCATATTAGTGAGGACTCTTTCAAAAATGTTGTCAGTGTTCCTTATTACATCACAGGAAGCTCTTATGCGATTCCTCAGGTCTTCTACAGTGTTAACCGGAGTGTTGTAAACCAGAGTTTTCATATGCCCCCATAAGAAGAAGTCCGCACTATTCAAATCTGGGGACCTGGGGGGGCATTGTTGGGGTCCACCACGGCCTACCCATCGGTCATGAAAAGTGTGATTTAAATATTCTCTTGCTTCTCGATGGAAATGAGCTGGTGCACCATCATGCAAGAACCACATTCTATTTCTAGTTAAAAGTGGCACTTCTTCAAGTAATACGGGCAAATCCACCTCTAGAAATCGACGTCTAGCCTTTGTGGCAGAAAAAAAGGTCCAATTAAGTGATTTTCAACAATTCCAACCCAAACATTCACGGAAAATTGTTCTTGATTGTTAAAGTTCACAATTGCATGCGGGTTTTCTTCGGCCCAAACATGATTGTTATGGAAATTTCTTATAGCGTTTCTAGAGAAGTTAGCTTCGTCTGTAAACATTATTTCACAGTCAAACAAGGGATTTTGCGCAATTTTCTCCAAAAACCATTGACAAAAGTTGATTCGCAAAGGAAAATCTCGAGGAAGTAAGGCTTGGACCCGTTGAATATGATACGGGTATAACAGAAAATCGTGAAGAATTCTCCAAACTAGAATGTGCGAGATATTCAAGTTATTTCCAATTTGTCTAGTGCTAATATTAGGATTTTCATCAATTGAATTTAAAACTGCTTCTTCAACTTCTGGAGTTCTAGTAGTCCGATGGGCACCTTTTAATTGATTATTTGGCTTAAAAGTACCTGTTTCAGCCAACGTTCTATGTATGTTTGAGAATGTTCGTCTATCTGGTGTGACTCTATTCGGGAAACGCTCTTGATATAATCGTTTAGCCTCTGGCGCTCTGCCATCAGCCAAGCCATACATGTAATGAATGTCTGCCAACTCTTGATTAGTAAACTCAACCATTATCAAATAACACTGTACAGGTATTTTAAGTATCAAAATTGAGTTGAATGAACTGAACTGTCAAAATTAATAAATCACAACAGTAATCAACAACCACAGCCTACTAGGTAATCTTTATATCATGCTTTCTGTTTGGCTCAATGTGGGTTAGTATGTTGTTCTTTATTTTTTTACTAAAAAACAGTGCAAGATAAGAAAAAAACTCAAGAGATCTTTTTTATTACAAAATAAAGCACCATTTATACAATAATTTTTGTTTTTCAAAAATGCAGTGGCGTATCATTTTTTTCATTCAAAATAATGAGGTTGAAGTTAATTGGGACGCCACTGGTTAAAAATGAAAATTCGTTTATTATGCAAAAGACGTGTCTCTGCACCTAGTTTACACATACTAAGTTTTATAAAACTATCTAATTTAGTTTCGGAGTTATTAAAAAAAAACAATTTTACAAACAGATATTCATCACCCTGTATATCAAAAATAAAGCGAAAACGGACCTATGTTTATATGAACTTTTTGTCTTAAAATCACGCACAGATTAACACCCTTCAATATTGACATCCAATTATGAAACACCCTGTATAGATAATAAAACTCTACCAAAGTACATATTTGCAAGATTGTTTTGTTACAAGTGCCAAGATTCACTCATATAATGTGAGAACTAAATATATCTAATTATAATAATGATTTTGTTAGGACAGATTGCAAAATGATTTCTTTAGTGACGGAATAAGATTTTTCTTTAATTATTCAGGTCATTGCCTGATTACATACAGGGTGTTTCAATTAAAACTTCTGAGATGTCGATTTTCCTATCAAGAAAGACACGTGAAGTCCTAAGTTTCAGTGTCTTGGAAGCTACCTCTTAGACGGGGGCGTAAAATATCCTTAAACTTTAAACGGCACCCGATGTTGAATGAGAGGTTTAAAATGCGGTGTCACTCAATATAGGGTGTCATTCAATATTTAAGGGTATTTTATGCCCCTGCCTAAGGGGTAGCTTCCAAGACACCAAAGCTTACTCTATCACGTGTCCCCATTGAAAAGAAAATCGACGTGTCTCAAGGCTTTTTTTTATTTCTTTTTAATCCCGATATTTTCCAGCCTGGTCTACAGGCAATAAAGAACGATTTACCCCAAAATATCTAGATTTTCGCGNATTTTTGCGGTATTTCGTGCACTTTGGCAAGTGTCTCGGATGCGATGCACTTCTAGATGCACTTTATGCACTCGCGATGCATTTCCGCCACTTCCGGATAATAAAAAAGGCGGGACTTTTTTCCGACGGTCTTTCTGAAGAAAATGCAAAAAACCGCATTAAAATCGCACCGGGCCGCGAAAATCTAGATATTTTTCTCTTTATTGCCTGGTCTAAGGCGAAAAGTTTTAATTGAAACGAGCGTATACGAAATACTTGTACAGTGTTGATTTTCCCACAGCTGTTACAAACCTGTATCTTGACAGATTGTAATCTAATTTAATTTATTTTTTTTATATGGTTAGCCTTACGTTCTTTTTAAGTGTTAGTGTAGTGAATTTGCCATCAGACAATAATTTCTGTTATATATTTTATTTGTATGGAATTAATAATAATAAATATACGAATTAATTAGTCTTCTACAACAATTTTTAAAGTACATGATGCGGATAGTTTAGAGTTTGGATCGCGAGCTATAAAGTTTATATTGTACTGTCCCATTTTCAGCGGTCTGGTCAGTTCTCTACCCCATGAGGGATATGATTTGACGTACTTCCAGCTGATGTTAGTTTTTGGCGATGGAAACTTAACCAAGACTGTTTTGGATTCCTTGCTTGTCTTGAAAATTTGGGTAGGTGGGCATAATAGAGTTGGAGGGTCTACTTCTGAAACAAAACAATTCGAAATATTAAGTAAATATTTTTGTCCTCCCGTAGAGTGGATTCATGAAATTAGATGGTCCGCAAGTACGTTGAGATAATAAAGAGGATAGCTCTTTAGATTATTTTAAGAAAAAAAGAATACAGGTTGCCCACATTTTTAAAAAAATATTACGATCTAAAAACTAATAAAAACTCAGACGGGAAATTTAAAAATATGTACTCTTACCTATGCACTGTGCTTCAGTTTTCCCTTCCCATTTCCCGAAAGAACCGCACGCAACATAATACTGTCCAACCAGCTTGAATCCATCGGGACATTCCAACTTGCAGATAGTTCCAGGACTATTCGTTATCCTCTCCCTTCCCGTTTTGGCATAGGATTTCCGAGATCCATCTCTAGTGCAAGTTATAAATCCTACAGGAGGGAGGGGTAAGGGCTTGCAAGTTATTCTTGGCAAAGGCTGATCGCTTTGGTAGTCTGCGGAGTCCATACACCGATACGATCCTTCTGTGTTTATGCAGTTTGGACAGGATACACTTATGTCCTGGTCCTCACATTCATTTATATCTGCGGTAGATCGTTGAGAGTTAATAAAGTTAGTTGGGATCTATTGGAGAACTATTCATTGAATAAATTACGAAATAAATTGAAATGGAATAATTCTATTATGTGAGTACAACACAAATTTACAGATTAATTTAGACCAGGAAAATAAGCTGGGAAATGACCATTTCCCGACTTTTTGTTTCTGCAAGCTGAATTCATCACTATAGATGCTAAATATTATGTACGATAACATATTAGTTTCCGCAGTCATAAAGATGAGGGGAAGATTGTTTACAGGCTGGTTAATTGTATAATTTTTACGTAAATTCACGTTTTTCGCTTATAACTTTTTTCCGTTCATTTCCACGAGAAAACAGTAAAGTACTTTTTTTTCGTCTTCAAAAGATTTACAAAACTAGCCCTCGAGTGTAAAAAATATTGATTAGATCAAAAGTTTTAAACAGAATAAGTTTATTTATCACTTTTGAATTAAACATTTATAAACTATGTTATTATTACCAGAACGTTTTGGCATCGCATCCTCTCATACCTTATCACTGTCTAATAACTCACACGAAATCTGGAATCGGTAAGTTGAATAGTTTACAAGTTATGGCCTTATAAACAAATTAACTAATTATTAGTCTGGACGATCCCGAGGATCTTCCACAATCGCACTGATTTTTTTCATGGTAGATTTCATAATAATACATTGAAATCTATATTTTTTTTTTAATTTCAAATTTGCAACCTGGAATTTTTTTTATTTTTTAGCCTTAGTTGCAAAATGAAATATACGACGCACGAGCGTGATATAGTTATATATTATTACATATTCGGAAAGCTTATGAAAAGAGCTTTAAGTTAAAAAAAAATCGTCAAGATTCGTTGAAAAACAACGGAGTTACAGACTGTCAAAGTTGACGGCCTATTGTTAAACAAATTAGGTTGGTAGCGGCAAAAAAAATACTGTCATAACCGGCAACCCGAGTACTTTCCCAGATAAAAATATTTTATTTGTGGAAGTATGTTAAGTGCATAAGAAATATTGTCAAAAGTCAGTGGGTCGCTTGATTTTCGGCGAGCCGTGGCGCGGCGGAAGGGTGGGGGAAGCGAACGACAGCGAGTCCGAAGAAAATGACGATAATATTCATAGTCCTGCCGTTAAATAAGCGAAATTCGCTTGAAAATAATATATTTGACAGTCTGTAACTCCGTTGTTTTTCAACGAATCTTGACGATTTTTTTTTAACTTAAAGCTCTTTTCATAAGCTTTCCGAATATGTAATAATATATAACTATATCACGCTCGTGCGTCGTATATTTCATTTTGCAACTAAGGCTAAAAAATAAAAAAAATTCCAGGTTGCAAATTTGAAATTAAAAAAAAATGATAGATTTCAATGTATTATTATGAAATCTACCATGAAAAAAATCAGTGCGATTGTGGAAGATCCTCGGGATCGTCCAGACTAATAATTAGTTAATTTGTTTATAAGGCTATAACTTGTAAACTACTCAACTTACGGATTCCAGATTTCGTGTGAGTTATTAGACAGTGATAAGGAATGAGAGGATGCGATGCCAAAACGTTCTGGTAATAATAACGTAGTTTATAAATGTTTAATTCAAAAGTCATAAATAAACTTCTTCTGTTTATAATTTTTGACCTAATCAATATTTGTTGACGCTCGAGGCTAGTTTTGTAGGTCTTTTGAAGACGAAAAAAAGTACTTTACTGTTTTCTCATGGAAATGAACGGAAAAAAGATATAAGCGAAAAACCTAAATTTACGTAAAAATTATACAATTAACCACCCTGTAAACAATATTCCCCCCCATTTTTATGAATGTGGAAACTAATATATTATTGTACATAATATTTAGCATCTATCGACGATTTAGTACGAAAACATACTATCTCAGATTTCAGTTGGAAAACATGCTATCTCAAATTTCGGTTGGAAAACATGCTATCTCAAATTAAACTTGGAAAACATGCTAGCTCAGATCTTAAATATTCCTTACTTTTCAAAAAATATATTATATAAATTTATCATAAATGTACGGTTTCAATCATTCCAATTTCATGCCAATTTAAATTTCTAGTGAAACTGAGATAGCATGTTTTTACTTAAAGATTTGAGCTAGCATGATTTCCAAGCTTAATTTGAGATAGCATGTTTTCCAACTGAAATTTGAGATAGCATGTTTTCCAACCGAAATCTGAGATAGCATGTTTTCGTACTAAAGCGTCGCTATAATGATAAATTCAGCTCATACTCTATATTTCCTTGCCTACATTAATTAGTTTTAAATTATTCGGTTATTTGTGTTTAAACGAATTAATTAAATCAAATTATTACTATTTTAATGTAATGTTATTTTTGCAATGTAACATTGATGTCAAACAAGATACATTTTTTTTGGGGCATTGATGGAAAACAACAAAGTTGCAACGTTCTTGAATCACTAGAAATTAGAGCGAGATTCATTTTCAAAAAAGAATCTTGCACTAATACATTTACTTCTGTTTTATGCCCACTTTAAGATTATGTCAAGTTGATTAAATAAAACATTTTTGTTAGAAAATTTCAATTCGTGCACCACAAGGCCATTTACATATTGAAAAAGAAATAAAATGTTTAACCTTGACAAGTCTTCCAGTCAGATGACAGTTCCATTCCCTCAGGACAAGAACAGAAAGCCTTCCCAAGTGTATTTATACAGTTATGAGAACATCCTCCATTATCCTTGAGGCATTCATTAATATCCATACACGTATGCCTATCTTCTCCTAGGACTGTACCATTAAGCTTTTTGCAGCTGCATTTGTAAGATCCAAAGACATTCTCGCAAGTGTCCTGGCAAGGACCGTGGCCGTTCCTGAGAAGGCATTCGTTGATATCATCACAAGATTTTGAATCATCTGCGAGTCTCAATCCATTGGGACATCGACACTCGTAGGTACCCAAAGTGTTGCGGCACTCCTTTTCACAGCCACCGTTGTTGGTTTTGCATTCGTCAATGTCTGTGTACATTAAAAAAAATAAGATATTTACTTTTCAGAGTACGAGCGATGAGTACGGCGTTGTAATGCCTAAAGTCAGACTAACTTAATTTCAGATTAAACATAATATTAGTAAACGATATAGTTCGTTTGATGTTAAGCTTATTAATGAAATATTTGATGAATATTGATATATGATAATGAAATTTGTTCAGAGAAATTTTGTTATTTACATTATTTTTTATTGTTTCTAACTGAGCCAGTTTAGTATTAGAAGCACAATATTTCCTTTCAAATTCACTGAATTAAATTTCTGCAGCAGACATTGTAATTGACATTATGCATATTGTTCTTTATGGATCCTAAAATGATTTTATTTGTGACGTGAAGCTTGTTGCTTCCACCCTGAACAATCCTGAACGACTTTTTGCTCAAAAAACGCTATCAATTTTTACATAATAGGATTTACTTCGTTTAATTCCATTGAAAATGTGAAAAACAACTATTCTACCTCAGTCAGCCGACTAGATCAAATTGAGGCCAATATGGAGCTGTTTAGAAGCTTTTATAAGGTTAGAAAGTCAGAACAACGTGGACCTGGCTTGGGTACCGCGACATATGGGACATTGTCCAGACGCAGACGGTATGTTTCAAAGAGTCCATATTTGGGTGAATCGTATATCCACGGAGATTTTTGGCATTTTGGCTTTCAAATATCACTAGAAATGAAAATTTTTCTATGCGCATAAAAAAANTCGAATTTTTGTACTATAATTTTGTATTTTTGTAATATAATGAGTTAATTTCTCATTTGCTTATATTTTAAACAGTAAATAATATTTGAATTATACTTTAATCACAAAAGAAATGATGATTAAATTAAATTAATTAATTTATTAATTACTAATTTTCGACATTTTGAAAATAATTGTTGTTTAAATAATTTTAGAATATTTAAATAAATTTGTTTTTGATCTTTGATAAACAGTATGTGGCGGCATGTTACAATTACATTGTTATATTTAATTAGCAAATAAATTTGTTTTTATAATTAATATAACATTATATTAAGCTGTATTTAGAGTAATCCAGATGTGGGGTTTTACCTGGGTTAGAAGTAGTAGGTACACGACCGAGAGGGCAAATTTATCTTAGATCAGGAAAAGAAACGACATTATTAGTATGGGTTAAGTCTTGTTCCCGATCGGTCGTGCTGTCCTGTAAAGAAGCGTCCAATAAAGTTATATTATTACACGTGACGTTTTTCTTTGGATGAACTCGAAGCACCCATAAGTATATAAGTTTATGCACTTACCTTTGATATAATAAAAAAATAAAGTTGATAATTAAAAGAAGTTTAAAGATAAATAATTATCGGACTGTTGAAAGACCAATAATTATTAACGATAGTCATTTGAAAATACGCTAGTTGTTTTTTTTTTTAAATTGCGAGACATCGATTTAAAAAAAAAATCATCAAAATCGGACCTCGCAAGAAAAGTATTGCAAACTTAGACCTGGTAAGTACTCGGAATACCAAAGGTATTTTTCGAAAAATTAACCCCGATGTCCCAGTACATTTAGTGTAAATGACGGTTAACTTTGATCGGCTAACTACGTAACTAATTGACCAATCAATCTATTTCTTTTTTAAAGAAGCGTCTTTCCAATAACTTTTAAAACCTGATTTAAAAAATTCTAAAAGTTATTATAATTGTTTATAAGTACAAAAATTCGACCAATGTTTAAACAAGCGCCAGAGCTCTCCTAATTGACGGATTCGAATTTTTCAAAAAGCGTTTGAAAGCCTGAGATCCCTTCTATATGTGATTAAATATTCAGGTATCTAAGGGTCTTGGTTTTTGCTATGCAAAATTTTGAAAATTTGCAAATTTTTTTTCAAAATCTGGATTGCAAAATTATTATGCAAAATCTATCGAACCGATTTTGATGAAATTTGGTGTGATGATTCTACATAACATGAAGTTTTCTTGAGCCAAGTATAAAGGTCCTATACCCAATTTAAATACCCCAAAAAAATTCCCTAAAAAGTATTGTTTTTTAACCCCATTTTTGCGATTTTTTCGATTTTTACCATAATAATCATGATTCATTCGATTTGTAACTAGTCATGTTTTGTAAAAAATTTAATTACAAACATTTTTTTCCTCTTCCATTTTCGCCTAAAATCAACTCTTGAAAAGATACATAATTAAATAGGGAGAAAAATATGACATTTTTCGAATTTTTTTAACATAATTGTGTCGCCAAAAGTTAAGCCCACGTTTTTTTTATGCGCATAGAAAAATTTTCATTTCTAGTGATATTTGAAAGTCAAAAAGCCAAAGGAGTGTGCCACCTACTGTTAGGATGAGAAAAACCGAAAGCTATTTACGTGAAGAAACGGATACAAAAAAATAATGATTTTAAGCTCGGACTGGAATTTTACAGAATATGTTTTCTTACAAGTCAAACAAACCTACATCTACAGTAGATATCTCTGATTCTAATAAATCGGTAAGTATTTAGGAACATTTACGGAAATATTTGAAATCGTAAATTATAAATAATGATAATTAACAACTTATTACCTAAACAAGTTCTCTGATCTGCGGCTAAAGCAAACCCAGTAAGACAGGAGCATTTTATTTTGCCTTTAGGGTTACAGATGTGTGTACATCCACCTTTCCTTTTACGACACCTATTGCTACGTTTGAAAGGAGTTCTATAATTAGTATCGTTTCCAATACTTATATGAAGAGTAACTAAAAAAACAAGAATAAGTAATGGAAATGGCTGTGATATGAAAGAAATGATATACAAATGTTAAATAATATAATACCTTTAAAAGAAATGATCAATTTGTAATAAGAAAAATATGTATCTCACTATTGTTGTGTAGCGTTGTTATCTTTGATGTTGCCGGTATAGGAGCCACTAAATTTGCTATATTCATTCTATCCATGTTGGTTTTGTTGGAATGCATTATTCTGAACTCATCAAAATTGTCCTCAGGATTTTCATTTAACTTTCGAATGAGCTCGTTTATGGTAGAATTCGAATTTGTATTAGTGGGGAGTATTATTCCTTTGGCAGTAGTAACCTCCAGTATGTTATTGTTCTCGAGCTTTTGCTGCTTCCGTCGGTTCTTTCTGTTCTTTCTTCTCCTTAATTTCCTTCTCCTTTTCTTTTTGATATTTGTATTTGGTTCAGTTTGGTTGCTAGACGACTGTGATGAGGATTCTGTTGTAAGCGCCAATGCTGGAAAGACAAGGTTTTGTTGTTAAATGGTGGTACAACTAAAGTTGGGGTTTGCTGGAGGTAAGGAGAAAGGACACAGCGTTACATAATTGCTAAATTATCAAGTTTCATATTATTCTGTGACATTTTTGGTCATCTCTTGTTTACTGTTAGAAATCCAATAAACTCATATTAACGTATCTGCAATGAGAAGGACTGTGTTCGTATCCATGTGAAAATATACATGATGTTAAAAAAGCGAAGAATTAAAAAAACAATTGTAATAATTTTAAAATATCCTACTGCAGTGGGAAACAGTTATATAGGAAGTTAACGAAGGAGGCCTATTTTCGTTATTACTTGGTGCATTATATAAAACATTATTACCTTTATGCTGAATTGCTTTTCTTCTAGATTTTCTGCGTTTCTTTATTCGTCTTGTGACTGCCGCCTTTCCATGTACTGTGACATTTACTGAATTCAAAACTCCATTGTCATTGACATCTAACGTTTTGTATACTAACAAGTTGTTAGTATTTCTAACTGTAGTATTGGTAACATTCTTCAGGTCATAGTCGAACTGACCCACGTTTGTAGCGCTCTTGAAAGATGTGTCATTTTGAAGACCAGATACTAACGGAATCTCTGAAAAATACATATTAATGAGAAAATATGTGAACAGAAATCTTTCAACTAAAAAAATCGCCAATGGAGATCAAAAGCTGGTAATGTTACTTTTAAAAAATATTTGTAATAAATATTGAAAAGCTGTTTCAGTCGTACAGAAGTAGACTAAATATAGAATATTATTCAGCAATTTCGAACACATAAAGCAACGGATGCACGCAAAGAGAATATACTCTTGCTTGACCTATTTAATTTTAATTCTTATTGTACTTTTATTACTACAGTCTAATTAGATCATAAAACCTGAAAACTTGAAAAAATTATTATGAGACATTTTATTGCACTTTATGGCGTGAATATCCCATGGCGTGAATATCAAAAAAGTAACATGAAAGAAGTGACTCTAAGTTGGCAAATTGCAAATACGTGTTTTTTCACTCTTTACTACCTACGAAAATCCAGACGACATATCGGAATATTCGTTATTTCATGTTGTAGGCAATTAAATTACCTACAATTTAGGGTACCTAGAGTCATTCTTCACTAATTTGTTAACTGTAAAATAAAGGCCGAACGCGGAAATATCAGTTTTCGAAAATTGCTCGTTATTATTGTAAAAAGCCATGGATATTGATGAAATTTATGGTAAAGACGGTCAATCCAACTACATCGCCGATTCAATTGACCGTGAAATTGTTGCTCCAGGTATTAATTTCGTTCGTTTTTTATTTGCAATTAACGGTTTAATTACTAAACGTTAATTTTAGAAGTTAATATTGTAGATATAGGTTCTAATTGATAAAAAAAATCAAAAAGTTGAAGTTAAGTTGCCTTTTACAACTAAGTAAAGTAAGTAAAGTAGGACGCAAAAACCGCTCGGTAATTCTCTCTTTTTGTATTAAATAGAACTTATTTTTACGGTAAAAAAAGAGAAATCACCTACGCCTCTTTGTTATGATCAAAATAAAACTGTTAAATCGCTTTTTCGGAGAAAAAATCAGTATAAAAACCAATGAATTTCACAGCCACACAAAAAGGAAAAGTAGTCTGTACTTTTCATGCGACATATGTTATCTGTAGTATTTTTGCGTCCTGATCACGGATCCAGTGTCAGAATTGAGCTATCACATCAAGGAATTTACTAATCTCAAAAAACAGATCAAAAATAGCAAAAATTCACGAAAGTGCTAGAAAACTAAAAAAAAAATTTTTCTATATTCAAATATTCATTTATATAGTTAAGACCCCGCCGAACGTGAATTAGCGGTCAGAATTGATGGTTCTTTTTGTAACCTCAAAAAAACGGGTCTGCTGCAATTCTGTTATTATTTGAAAATTTGGTCGGCCATTTTGGGTCCGCCATCTTGAATTTTGCAAAATTGAGCCCGGATCCGTAGTTAGCGACCCCGAAAACCCCCGTATACCAAATTTGCTGCGATTCTGTTATTTTTTTTTTTAATTTGGTCGGCCATTTTGGATTCGCCATCTTGAATTTTGCAAAATTGACCTCGTATCCGTGATCAGCGACCCAGAAAACCCCCGTATACCAAATTTGGCGCGAATCTGTTTGAAAATTCGTGATCTGACTTTAATTGACCCGTTTTTTTGAGGTTAGAAAAATAACCATTAATGCTGACCGCGGATTCACGTTGGGCGGGGTCTTAACTATATTAATGAATATTTGAATATAGAAAAAAAAAATGTTTGTATTTTTCCTAGCACTTTTTCATGAATTTTTGCTATTTTTACCGGTTTTTTGAGATTAGCAAATTCTTGTGATGTAATAGCTCAATTCTGACACCGGATTTGTGACCAGGAGGCAAAAATACTATAGATAACATGAAAAGTATAGACTAATTTTCTTTTTTTGTGTGGCTGTGTTTTTCATGAGATTTAAAATTGAACAATTCTACAATTTACATTTTTTATGTGCTAACAAGTACAAGTTTAAGCGGTTTATAATACATATTTTTAAAAGTATTACGTTTTGATTGAAACAATTTTTTTAATTCCAAAAAATGACGTATTTTTGAAAATAACTTTAAAAATAAAAAGATACGAAAAATATTCAAGAGTACAAAAGTTTAGATTTCACCTAATATTTTGTTTTTTTTTATTTGTGTAGGATACATTAACAGAGATGTCGTTGCTAGAAGTTTGCAGTTGAGGGCGAAGGTCATGTTTTTCAAACCCTTTAACTTTAAAAATCTCAAAAATAACGCGTTACAAAATATTCAATTTTACAGTACTTTCAGCTGTCGAAATTTTCCGTAAAATCGTTTTTGGAAGTTATCGTTAAAAAACCAACGGTACCTTACCGCCAATAATAGATGAAGACGAGGAGGAAGAAAACGACAGTGGCGATGATGCAGGTACATAACTATTTTAATATACAACTATTTTATCTATACATAAATTTATTTTAACAATAAAACATTTGTTTATTATACCTATACATAGAATACTTTCACTGTTTCCCTTTAATATTTTAATAATTCTACTTATCAACTTTAAATGTATAAAATTGTTTTTATTTGTATAATGAAGGCTGATTTTTAAGAAACCCAGTGATGTGATAAACACTATAGAAGGGCACTATAATTAATTTTAGATAATTTAAAAGCAATTTTTTTATATTTTGTCATTGGGGGTGGTTTATAAGGGTTAAAACGATGGGATAAATTATAAATTATTTTATAAACAAGTAAAAGANAGAAAAATATGACATTTTTCGAATTTTTTTAACATAATTGTGTCGCCAAAAGTTAAGCCCACGTTTTTTTTATGCGCATAGAAAAATTTTCATTTCTAGTGATATTTGAAAGTCAAAAAGCCAAAGGAGTGTGCCACCTACTGTTAGGATGAGAAAAACCGAAAGCTATTTACGTGAAGAAACGGATACAAAAAAATAATGATTTTAAGCTCGGACTGGAATTTTACAGAATATGTTTTCTTACAAGTCAAACAAACCTACATCTACAGTAGGTATCTCTGATTCTAATAAATCGGTAAGTATTTAGGAACATTTGCGGAAATATTTGAAATCGTAAATTATAAATAATGATAATTAACAACTTATTACCTAAACAAGTTCTCTGATCTGCGGCTAAAGCAAACCCAGTAAGACAGGAGCATTTTATTTTGCCTTTAGGGTTACAGATGTGTGTACATCCACCTTTCCTTTTACGACACCTATTGCTACGTTTGAAAGGAGTTCTATAATTAGTATCGTTTCCAATACTTATATGAAGAGTAACTAAAAAAACAAGAATAAGTAATGGAAATGGCTGTGATTTGAAAGAAATGATATACAAATGTTAAATAATATAATACCTTCAAAAGAAATGATCAATTTGTAATAAGAAAAATATGTATCTCACTATTGTTGTGTAGCGTTGTTATCTTTGATGTTGCCGGTATAGGAGCCACTAAATTTGCTATATTCATTCTATCCATGTTGGTTTTGTTGGAATGCATTATTCTGAACTCATCAAAATTGTCCTCAGGATTTTCATTTAACTTTCGAATGAGCTCGTTTATGGTGGAATTCGAATTTGTATTAGTGGGGAGTATTATTCCTTTGGCAGTAGTTACCTCCAGTATGTTATTGTTTTCGAGCTTTTGCTGCTTCCGTCGGTTCTTTCTGTTCTTTCTTCTCCTTAATTTCCTTCTCCTTTTCTTTTTGATATTTGTATTTGGTTCAGTTTGGTTGCTAGACGACTGTGATGAGGATTCTGTTGTAAGCGCCAATGCTGGAAAGACAAGGTTTTGTTGTTAAATGGTGGTACAACTAAAGTTGGGGTTTGCTGGAGGTAAGGAGAAAGGACACTGCGTTACATAATTGCTAAATTATCAAGTTTCATATTATTCTGTGACATTTTTGATCATCTCTTGTTTACTGTTAGAAATTCCAATATTCCAATAAACTCATATTAACGTATCTGCAATGAGAAGGACTGTGTTCGTATCCATGTGAAAATATACATGATGTTAAAAAAGCGAAGAATTAAAAAAACAATTGTAATAATTTTAAAATATCCTACTGCAGTGGGAAACAGTTATATAGGAAGTTAACGAAGGAGGCCTATTTTCGTTATTACTTGGTGCATTATATAAAACATTATTACCTTTATGCTGAATTGCTTTTCTTCTAGATTTTCTGCGTTTCTTTATTCGTCTTGTGACTGCCGCCTTTCCATGTACTGTGACATTTACTGAATTCAAAACTCCATTGTCATTGACATCTAACGTTTTGTATACTAACGAGTTGTTAGTATTTCTAACTGTAGTATTGGTAACATTCTTCAGGTCATAGTCGAACTGACCCACGTTTGTAGCGCTCTTGAAAGATGTGTCATTTTGAAGACCTGATACTAACGGAATCTCTGAAAGATACATATTAATGAGAAAATATGTGAACAGAAATCTTTCAAGTTTGGATTCTAGATACCATTTATTATATTGTAATAATGTTATAGATGGGGCAGGCTCCCCTGCATTTTTTACATTTAAGTTTAGTGTTATATCTCAATTTAAATTACCTAACTAAAAAAATCGCCAATGGAGATCAAAAGCTGGTAATGTTACTTTTAAAAAATATTACGTAATAAATATTGAAAAGCTGTTTCAGTCGTACAGAAGTAGACTAAATATAGAATATTATTCAGCAATTTCGAACACATAAAGCAACGGATGCACGCAAAGAGAATATACTCTTGCTTGACCTATTTAATTTTAATTCCTATTGTACTTTTATTACTACAGTCTAATTAGATCATAAAACCTGAAAACTTGAAAAAATTATTATGAGACATTTTATTGCACTTAATGGCGGGTGAAAGATACATAGAATGATGAATATCAAAAAAGTAAGACGAAAGAAGTGACTCTAAGTTGGCAAATTGCAAATACGTGTTTTTTCACTTTTTTTTACTACCTACGAAAATCCAGACGACATATCGGAATATTAGTTATTTCATGTTGTAGGCAATTAAATTACCTACAATTTAGGGTACCTA